AGCATCAATCTCGTCTCGTCTCGACCTCGAGATTAACTCGAGACGAGACGAGAGTCGTAGAGAGTCTCGTCTCGTCTCGTCTGATCTCGTCTCGCAAAAAAATCGCTTGCATTGTACAACATAACCTATGGATTTTTGTTGCTGGTTTGGTTCGTATTTCGTATTAAATAAAATCCAATGTCCAGCTGGTCCAGAGCTAGAAGAAACGCAATAGCTGTATTTCTTTCGAGAGCTTGAAACATTAGCGCTCTTACTCGACCCTACCCCGTTTTGAAAGGAACTGCTCGTGAGATGGTGTGTGAGAGGAAAGGACCGAAGGGAGGGATTGGGGCTTGAGCACTTCGGGTGCAACAAACACGAGAAACGCCGCGGAGCTGTTCCGGAGCACCTCTTTGTGTGGAAGGAATACAGCTATGGCTAACAGCGTGTTTTATTTCAAACTTCCTACGACCCGTTTCAGCAAGGATAATAAACACTACTACAGGATACAGGATTGCTCATCGGCCTCGATTTGTCGCATCAACATCATATGGTGTAGCACCGTTGCCAACGTCATCAACGGTGCCGAGGAGTATTTGCGCCAGCGGTCGTAGTTAGGAATTCAAATTTATGATTGATGACATAATATGTAGAGATGAAGATAAGATTTTAACGAAAGGTTTGTTTTTGAATGCTAATTAATCTACTGAAACCAAGTTCATAAAGCCAAAGTCAGCGGAATCATAGCCTGTGGTTCAAACACCCTATGTCAAAGCGACATTAAAGCGAAGAACGACACGCTGACTACGTCATCAGTGGTACTTTTGCGTAGTGGCAAGCTTGAGATTTGAACTACACAGACCTTATGGACAATCCTGTAGTGTTTATTATCCTTGCGGTTTCAGTTCATTTGAAATTTCTCCAGGAACAACACTGCATATACCATACACCTATCATTTATGAAGGCTTTATTCCGTTTCTATCCTTGGTTACGGTTATACGTTCAGTAGATGTCGGTTGCCTGAATAACCGGTATACATATACGGAATACGGTTGCTGACAATAGGTATGTCAAAATCGGTTTTTCTGTTGACTCTAGTGTTGTTTAAAGGGCACAATTGTACCAAAAGTGGCCCTTTTCGCCCGCAAAATGCACAGTGGCACCACTTTGAAAAATTTGGCACAATTCACATTTATTATTAGACAGTCCCAGTCCTGACCTGTGAGAATTGTAATGGATCTGTCAGGTCATTGGGGCTGTGTTCGTTATTGTCATCTTTTTCGTCTAATGCTAATGGCTCCGAAATTTTGATAGGCACGTGACTGCATCAGACAGTTTCAATTCACAAATCACGTGCTTGTCAAAATTTCGGAGCAAATCGACGAAAAAGATGACAAAACCGCAAGACAAAAACGAACACAAACCGAATTTTCGCGACGAACTACTTCCATGATTTCATCAACAAACGCTTTTGCGAGAAACTCATGACGTCATATTGAAGTAGTTCGACGGAAGTATGGACGCAGCTTCTAGCCAGCGTTCAAACTCATGACGTCACAGATGAACTATGTTTCGTCCTTGGATGAACTACAGTCTATTTTTTCCCAAGATAGATTTTGACATTGAAAACTTTGAAACAAAAACAATAACGCTTATTGGCTCTGTTTGGTCGCAAAATGAGGTGTCCATGCAGGTTGACATCAGTTTTACAATGCATGTCGTGCAAATGGCATTTTGCGACTAATAAGCAGCATTAGCGGCATCGTTTATGTTTCAAAGTTGACAATGTCAAAATCTTTGGGAAAAAATAAGCTGTACATTCGTCGCGAAAATTCGGTTACAGCTTGGATCGGATCTGTCGAAGTGAGTGTGACTAGTGACAGTGACGTGACTGTCAATTGTCATTATAGTGAATTTAATATATGAAATATATTATATCTTTCCCCTTTTAATCATGTAATAAAAAGAAATGAGTATAAAGTCAAAAAATCATTTCTTATCACTTTTTCTCAAGTGGCACTATTTGAGTGTCGCTGCAGGCACACACGAAAATTCCCCAGGAACAACCCTGGTTGACTCACATATCTACTGTCAGTGTCAAAGTCCCTTCTTATTCTTCGGTATTTTCTAACGCATTTTCCTCCTTAACCCATCGAAACCCCCCCCCCTACATATATGAATTTTTCTTAGAATAACCAACCGGATAATTCTATCGGTGTTTGCTGACTGGGAAAATAAGTACCGAAAATATTCACTGCCTCCTTAGACTAATACTGATGATTATTCTAATCATATAGTACGTTAAACACTTAGGGACTAAAGTGGTACTTTTAATCCCGAGACAAAAAGTTTATAACCCTACCGAAGGGAGGGCTATAATTTGTAGAGGGATTAAAAACACTTTAGTCCTGAAGTGTATACACTATTTTATGCACTTTACTTTATATTTCCCGGGGATTAAATGAAACAGGGAATAAAAGGGTACTTTTAATCCCCGGGAAATAAAGTAAAAATTAAATCCCCGGAAAATAAAGTAAAAATTTAATCCCCGGGAAATAAAGTGAAATTTAATCCCGGGGATTAAAAGACCCCGTTTACTCTCTTAAAACAGGGATTAAAAGGGTACTTTTAATCCCTGAAGTGCATAAATACAAAAATATGGTGTGTTTTATTTTTCATAACCTTGAGTAAGTAGTTAATGAATTCGTCAATCTTGAAGAGAATTTCATTAGAATTTCATTCATCTGTCAAAACTGGTATTCCAACTATGATTTGGCATGTTTTAATTGTTGATTACAACCAATCAGATTGCAACCAATCAGATTGCAATTACGTGATAATTTGCTCTAGTGCAGGATTATCAGATAATTGCACACTAACGGGTGGCATTTGACATTTTTTGCGACCAGTGACATTTTTATACTTACGAGGGTATACTAAAAATTCAAATTTTTTATTCATGGAATTCTCTCATACAATTATAAAATACAACTCGAGCAATGGAAATATATCTATAATTTTTGACAAATTTGCACTCATGCATTTTCAACTGAGAAAGGCACTCGTGCTCTTTTTCAACTGAAAATGCATTCGGGAAAATTTGCCAAAAATTTTCGATAATTTCCATTGCTTTCGTTATTACTATCGAATAAAAGATTTCTTGCGATTAAAAAATTAAATGGAAAATCTGAGTTAGAGGATCGATAGCTTGGCATTTCGACTTATCAGTGGACTTTTCAAAATAAATATAAAAAAATTATCTTCAATTCGACAGACTGCTTTAGAAACATCCCCATTTTGCTTGACAAGGGTATTATGCCGAAACGACCCATCAGACCGGGCCCAAATTTGGGCTCAATAAAGCCTGCCTCATCTACTATGTATGTGTAAAAAATTAATTGTCTAGCATGAAAATTAAAAAAGTTAGGAATTTTTTACGAAAATCTCTTTTTTGGGAGGAAAAAAATCATTTCTCGAAGACTAAAAGACCTACAGGGATGGCTCATTGTAAAGCTTGTTCAATGCTCTAAAACTATTGCCATAGTAGCAAAACCATCCGATCATTAGTTTTCGAAATACAGTGAAATAAACAAAAAAATGCCCTATTTTTGTACTAAATATTGTTTATAAAATCCCCTAAAAGTAATTAGATGTTGCATTTTTGGTTTTTAGCATCTATAAATGATCCTTAACAATACTGCATCGATAGTTTGCTGTTAAATTTTATGTTACGAAAAAATTTATCTGCCCTGGCCTATAGATTTTCCGAATCAATTTTATGGTGTACAGTATTGTTGTTGACGTCATCAGATATTCCATCAGTTGTTTGCGCCAGCGGTCGTAGTTTAGAATATAAACTTTTGATGGGAAATAATATTATATTTTGGTTAACCTAATAGGTTTGCCTATCAGGTTGCGAAAGATGCAAATGACATCAAGATTTTTTTTAAAATGTTGATTGTTAAATTCAACGGCGGGTGAAACCGCTGGGAACAACGAGTTAATAAATATACCAATCCCCATGCAATAAACACAAGCGTATTTCCTTATCGTAATTTATTTCTAAAACTTATAAAAATCATAGCTAAAAAGGTAATTTTGGCTAAGTAGAATGCTTTATGTCAGTTGGATGCGGTCCAACTTTGGGGCGCCTACAGAATAACAGCTGGGTTTTTATTAGGGCAAAAAGTAGATGAGTTATGGTAGAAGCCTTTTTGTCTAAGAGGCATCCGGTAATTAGTTATAGTGCCGCTGCTCTCGCTGAAAAACAATGTGTGTCATTGGTGCATGTTTTGTAAAACGTCGCTTGACTTTTTCTGAAAGTTGTAGCCGATGTCATCTTTTGGCATCCATAGAATAATAGAGCCTGTGACATTTATCATTTTACGTAGGTACATGGAAAAGGAAATTTATATTTACATCACAGGTATTGCAAACTTTGCCTAGTATTTTGTCAATATATTGTACAGCGTGCGGTAAAGGTCATAATATGGTACTTGCCGAAGGCAAAATCGTGCGTTATACCTACCTCATTTACCGCACGATTACGAATAATAGTATATTATGGTATAATAAGTGTGGTAACTAGGTTATTACCGCACGCGAGAAAAATTTGCAAACCCAGCTGGTGAGGCTGCAATTTCTAGGGCGGCAATAGTCACCATACGTATTTTATACAGTATTTTATACACAACCGTGCTGTAACATAGAATCCAAAAGATGTGTAAAAAATCATAGAAAATACAATTACGTCTGTCACCTTTGGCAGTAGACGCGTAGAATTTAGGTGATAAGTGGGTAATTGAAGGTAGGTAGATCGTGCGGTAATAATATTCCCGTACGCTATTACAGAAGCTTGCTAAATAATGACTATTTTATTATTGTTTCTATGTCCGTCAGATTAATTTTAGCTAGACCATGCTAATAATACCATTATTTTCCTGATATCCATTAGCACACTATTATATTTTATTGCTTTTGGGTAAAATATTATTAGATACAATTTCATCCAACATCCAATGCGTTTCATTGGATGTACTTAGATATTTGTGCGAGAGTTTTGATTATTTCAAATTGCAAATATTTAAATTAGGTAAGTTTGTCTTTTTTATTTCCTTTCTTCTAGTTACCTAATTAATCGTGAATAAAAAGTATTCTAAATTTGTATTTTTTGAACAAACCAACTACCTACATATTGAGTTGATTTATGAAATTTACTTCATTTTTTTTTTGGCCCTTATGGAACGAGGGCTCTTCTTATGGGTTATTGTTACTAAGGACGTCACTTCTATTACTTAATTCCATATTTTGAGTCAACTGGAGTCACGAGTAATTTTGTATCGCTTGTATTCCCCTATAAAATATTACTGGAACATTAATATAGTTATGTTTCTTTTGATTCTTAGCGACATAAAAATGGTAAAAAGCAAATTATATTTGAGGAAGGAATGTTTTTCGGATTCTACGCCCAAAAATGATTAGTCGTACGTGTATCTAATATAAGTTTTATGTTAACCCAATCATCAACTGGGCTTTGCTGCGTTTATAAATTTAGGAAAAAAAAATATTGGAACATATTCACATATGATAATTATAATATTAAACTGCGTTATGAAAAAAAAAATCTTTCTAACGCAGTATTAAATGATTATTGAGAACCATATTTTTCAAACAAAGGAATTGAAGATTAGTGCTCTCGTTCTCGTGAGAACTCCTTCCTTGTTCCGAGAGGCGCCAGAGAGAAATAGACCATCCCTCTACAGAACTTAGCAAAGAATATATTTGAACTGGTTGAAAGACGTAGCCTGCAACATTTTCATATATGGCTAACATACCTGAAATGGTAACTTTATTCCCTGTTTACTCGAGAAAGTACGTACTAAAAGCAATAATCTTGAAGTGAATGTTGTGCCATAGTCCGGTATTGTATAGCTTGTACTTACTTAGCCACTTCTTGGTAAGCTGAACTCCTAAAAACGGAGAGGTTGAAAACTTGGACCTCACTTATACATTCAACAAACATTGAATTTCATCATTTTGGTTTGTTTTGAAGGGTTAAAACAACCAATTTGTGCCAGTATTTGTTAAATTTTTGACACCTATGTCACCTGAAACATGGTGGCACTTTGCGGCCCGGCGGGCCGAAAAGTATCAAATTGTGCCCGCAAATTAGGGCGCAAAAACCATTTTGTAGCGCTTTAGCTCAGCTCGTCTCTCCTATCTACTTGGAGGTTGACAGGTCCATCCTTCATCACTTATTCGAACATATTCTTTTCACCGCATCGGTAAGTCGAGTTTAAACAAAGTCTCTCCATTTTGGACTTCATCTCCTATCATGTGATTTCATCCTATTGACAGATATCAGGGCAAGAACTGGCCAAAGCCAGCTTTCCAACTTATTGGAAATTCAGTCGCGTCCTGTTGCGGTGTTAGAATTCATGCCTATAATAATCGTTTGGGTGTGCCTTTCGGAGACTTTCTTATTCTTAAGTATCTGTGAATGATTCAGTTTTGTCTTTATCAATGAAACGGTTGGTTTAGTGCTAGTATTTCCTTTTAAGTATTTTCAGCAATCATGGCTCCAATTTTTCTTGGAAAGTCTCCATTTGAGCTAACTGAATTAGTGTGTATGCCTGATGCAAAACTGCAAGCTTGAAGCAGCCAGTGCCGACTGCTAAGAGCTATGAATCAATAGAATGTTCCCCATCCTTACTTGGAGTTATCCTGAATAGCTGTCCACATGGTAGTGCGCTTATGCTTGCCTACTTGTCAATGGCTCGCAGCGATTATCAATTGTGCTGGACTTGATCCAAGGTAACTCCTTATTATAGTCTCTATTTGAAAGTTGCTCCTATTCGAGAGTCTTCTATTGCGATATTTTTCAGCACACTAGGACCACCACAGCCTCCTGAAAGGTAGTTCTGACCGATAACGATGGCTCTACGAGCGTCTGCGTGTTTCTCTAGCCTGATTGCGTTCCGGTTACTGACATTGGAGTTCCTAGATTGAGATTCACTGTTGAGGTCACCAATCAAGATTGTAGGAGTTCTCTCTTCCCGTAGATCCTGTACGCCCACCTCCAGCAGAATTTTTAGTGGAGCTAAGTAGGCTGTAGTGCTCCTAACCCGGCCTCTGATAGTCCTACTCTCCATAGTGACTGCATGTTTCTCCACATAGTAATTCATATTGTTCGTTTGGTAATATCTATGTTAAATAAATTTGAATAAAAAATACTTAAGTTTTGAATATCAGTTTTTCTGTTTAAAGAATATTCTTCTTGTTTAATGATATTCAAAATTTAAGTGTTATTTTTTCAAGTTTATTTACCATAGTTATTCATATAGGACTTCTCTAGGCCTGTTTTAAACAGTCATGCTACTCGGCCCTCAGCATTTGGCTAGTCAAAACGGTATGTCTCGTACCCTCTGAATGATATTCTGTTCACAACCCCCATCTTAGCATCCTGCAGAGCCAAATCGTCGGTCTCAAGACATAAGGCCCTATCTCGTTTTTTACAAGTTTTCACGAAAGCAATTGAAAGAAACCTAATATCTTTACGCCAATATAATACAAAGAACTATACTGATTTTTGGTCTCTTTTTTTTGGAATAAATAACAACAACTCATATAAGTTTTTTGTTAAATACCACATTTCAAAATAGTAGTTAACATTTGTGTCTCAATATTCGCCTTTATGCTGTGATAAAACTATTCATACTTCAAGATAGTGCCATGTGTTTTTTCACTTTTTTAACGAAAGTACCTGATATCTATGAACTTAACTCATTTTCGCCTATCTCGAGATAGGGCCTTATGTCATGAGACCGACGAAATGTCGTATTGATGGTCCTCAACTAGTTCTTCGGAGTGTAGAGATCTCAATATTCTGATGTTCAAGCAGATTATCTTCAATTTTCATTCCGTCGAGAACTACTGCTGGCAACGATCTTGTCGATCATGAAAACAGCGCCAACAACCAACGCCCTGCCCTGTATCTATTTTGACATCAGTGTTGCCAAATGTTGAATGAAGTCCGTCACCGTAGAAGCTACACGTCGGCGTCGGCATTCTAAGATAATTCGAAATATCTTGGCAACATCTTTCCTGTACAAAACTAAAGAAGCCTCGACACATTCTTTGTGAGAACACGAATATCTTTTACGGTGAAAATGGCAAAACTGGTAAAACGAACATCCTCAAGTAAGGAATCAATACTGGCAGTGCTCATCCGATTAGTCCTACATTGGGCTATCTACACGTGAAGTTTTTTTTTGATACAGTCGCGAGGTATGCGGGTATCGGAACTATCCTGTGGCAAAAACAAGATGGAGAAGAAAGAGTAATTGCATAGTATAGTTGAATCAAATTCAAGCGGCAGTAATGATATTAATGGGCTTTTTCATTACAACCTATCAACTGTCCTCCGTGCCTGGTCCTGGTAGGGCGTTTCAACCCATCAAATATCCTACGTGCATGCACACTGTTCCTGGTAGGGCGTTTTCAATTAATAGGAAGGCAGGATTACCAGCTGGTGTTTGTTTACAATTAGGTTATTTATTGTCATTACTGCCGCTTGGATTTGATTCAACTACAGAGTAGAGTGCTCACCAAGCCCTAGAGAAATTACTGCGTTACAAGAAAGGAACTGTTGGCGATAGTCAGAGCAGTAGACTATTTCCACAAGTGCCTGTATGGATGAAAATTTCTCATTAGAACAGACCATGCATCGCTCAAATGGTTTCTAAACATGTAAACAACCAGAAGGACAGGTAGTAGGATGGCTGGAGAAGTTACAGCAGTATAATTTTCAAATCAAACTCCGTTTTGGCAAAGTGCATAATAACGCAGATAACTTATCCAGGCGACCATGCCCAGCTCAATTCAAGCACTTCCTCAGAATTATCCAGCGTGAAGGAGTTCCTATTAGTAGCCTCCGATTTGAAACGAATCAAGAATGGAGTTCCGAACAGCTTAGAAATGATCAATTACCAAATAGTGTCATCAAGCCATTTTTAAATCTAAAGGAGTTCGGAAAATCCCGACCAACCTGGAATGAAATATCATCTAGAAGTCTTCTTTTCAAAGCGCTGTGGGCTCAATGGGACTCACTGCTAGGCGAAAACGGTTTACTGAAACAAACCAATGAAGTAGTACGACGTGGGGACCCGTGGTACTGATCCCCACGTCGTACGCATTACATCCACAATCAGATGACATAGTTGAGAGGTTCAACAACACTATCGAGGAACATCTTTGCGCACTAGTTGACAAGCGTCAAGACAATTGGGATGAGCATATAACTCTGTTTCTGTACCGTACATAATACAGCTTCGTTCACGGTGTGACTTGGGGTTCGGATCACCAGATTTCACCGACATCGAAGCCGAAAACTATGCTGACGAGTACGACGATCTGCGGAAAAGTCTGCTTGATATCCATGACATAGTTATAGGAAGGACAGAGTTCGCAAGTGACTGAATGAAAAAGAGAGGAAAGGAAATCTTAAGGCGAACTCCACATCTTTCCAGGAGAATGGCAGTAACTTGTTAAGCTACTAGTAGATAGTCAAAGGGGATTCAAGAATCAAGCATTCTTGACACGATGGTGGATGCGCCGCCGTTGACACGAAGGTGGATGCATCGTCGGCGCCATCTTTTCAAACGTCATGGCGCCATCTAGCGTACATAGTGTGAAGTTCGTAATACAGGACGCTGTAGTTGGGACCCGTAGGGCTCCGCCCCCCAAAAGGGGGCCCACAGGGCTGCGCCCCCCAAAAAGGGGCCCCCGGATTTTATTATGGGTACCAGAAAAAGGGGTGGGGGGAAATGTTTTCCCGCCATCATGTCAACCGTCACCTGTCAAACGTCACCTGTCAAACGTCACCTGTCAAACGTCACCTGTCAAACGTCATCTGTCAAACGTCACCTGTCAAACGTCATCTGTCACATATGATGACGTCATACCGGGTTATTGCGGTGAATTCTTGCAATTACAGGTTCCTGTAATATGGAGTTTGCGTGGAAGGGATTGTTCCGAGTCGTTTCGAAATCGCTACGTATAGTTAATTATGGTTCGGGGAATTACAGGTTCCTG